CAGACCCAGCTGCAGGAGGACAAGGACCCCATGCTGATCCTGCACAGCAGCTACCTGGACAGCGCGGGAGACCTGGACCCCGACGGGGACCTCGGCACAGGTCCGTGTCCCGCTGCTCCTCCCGAGGGGACAGATGTGTGCTGGATGTCACCCCTGTGGCGGCAGGGTGGGTCCTGCCCCTTCCGCCTCCGGCTAAACCCATCTCCCCGCTCCTGCCAGGCCTCCGAGGGCGCATCTTCGGCAGCCCCCCACCCCCCCGCCTCGGTGGGCCCGGCATTCCCAGGGCTCCGGCCTCCAGCGGGATGGAGGAGGCACAGCTGAGGGATGGGCAGCGCTCCGAGATCGACGTCTCGGACCTGGGGTCGCGCAACTACGGCGCCCGCACGGACTTCTACTGCCTGGTGACAGAGGATGACATCTGAGCAGGACCACAGGTGTCCCCCAGCCCGGTGGGGACACACGGACCAGGTCAGGGCTGAGGAGCCCGGAGTTATGATGGGATCAGAGCCATGGCCGTGCTGGGAAAGCAGGAGCTGGCTCCAGAGTGGAGGACTGGAAAACCATCACCAGGAGCACCCTGCCTGTAATACCTCAGTGCCACCCCTGGGCACCACCCATGTGGCTGGGCCGTGTTCCTTGCCGTGGGTGGCAGGTATGTTCTTCCTGCACGATGGACAGTGCTGGGATGGGTGATGCTCTCTGAGGAACAACGTGTCCCAGCCCCAGGGAGTGCCCGACAGAGGAGTGGTGGCAGCACCTTTGTCCCATATGGAAACCCCCGTGACAATAAAAGGCTGCTGCACCCACTGCGTCTGTCCATGATAGGGACACAGGTGACACAGAGGGAGGGGCATTCCCCACTACAGGCAGTGCTTAGATCTGTCCTTCCCCCACCAGTGTCACTGTCACACTAACTTGGAGCCATGCCAGGCACGGAGCCTCACCCTGTGCTGGTGTCCCCATGGCACTGCTGTCACCAGGACACTGTCCCCCCTCTCCCAGATGCCATCCAAATGCAGGTGCAGGTGGGCATCACTCAAGGCCTTTATTTCAGGGGTACACAGGGCGGGGGGTTGTACACAGAGAGCTGCAGAGCCAAACACCCCATGCCCCGAGCCTGGACTGTGCCGGTGCTGCTCCCCGTGGGGGCTGCTCCAGCCTCTCCGCCCGCTCCCCCCATCCTCCCACCCCTCTACCTACTCTACATCGTCCCCCCGGGGTGCCCTGTGCCCCCCAAGCCTGGGGGCTCCCCCAGCCCAAACCCACCGGCAGCCCAAAGCCACCCCCAGCCCAGCTGTGTGTCCCCTCCCATGAGCTGTGGCACAGAGAGCTCTGGACCTGTCTGCACCCAGCACGGGGACACCGGGGACACCTCCCCACCCACAGGGTGACACTGCTCAGCAAACACGACCCGGACGGCCCTGCCCGGATCCTGCTGTGCCAGCAGGGCCCAGCCCTGGCAGCAGCTGGTGAGGAGCCACTCTGCCACACTGGGACAGTCCCCACAGGGTGACACATGGGGCCCTGAAGCTCTCCCAGGCTTCCTGCAGCGAGGGCACAGAACCCCATCAGACACGACCCCCTGCCCACCCTCCACAGCAAAGGGGGAATGCAGCACTGTCACAGCGTCCCTTCCCAGCTCCCTGCAGCTGCTGTGCCACCCCATAAACTGTGGGAAGCCACCTCAGAGCCCTCCAAGCCCCCAAGCCATGCAAAGCTCCATCCCCACCCAGCCAGGGCAGAACAAAAGTGTAACCTGCAGCACATCCCACTCCGGCACAGGGCACGGACAGCCCCGGCCCCACAGCTCAGGCAGCTGGGATGAAGCATCCCCAGAAGCCCCCTTGCCCCAGAATCGCTCTGCAGGAGCCTTCCCTACAGCTCCTGCCCCCTGTCAAGCCAGGACAAGCCAAGTTTTGCAGACAGCTGCCTGAGAGTGGGGAGAGCCCCCAAGGGGTGCCATGGGGCAGCCCCCTCCTAACCGGGGCCTCACAGCAGAGCCAAAAGCAGCTGCTGGGTTTAAGGCTGAGCAGGAGGGAGGACAAGTGACCCTCAGCCAGGGCAGGGGACCCAGCAGAGGGGGGAGGCATGTGGGATGTAGGGATTAGGCTACAGAGTGGGGGTCTGGCGGCGAGCAGCCTCCCCATGGCATGGCTGGCAGCACGGAGCATCCCAGCGAGGCATTCCAGCTCCCGGGGCGTCCTCACAGGCTGAGGAAGTCCTCCTTCCGGTAGCCCTTCTGCAAGGAGACAGCGCCATCAGGCAAAGGGAGCCGCTGTGCTCCGGCACTGATGGGCCACAGTGTCCCCACGCCACCCAGAGCACAGGGACAACGCTCTGGGATGGCCCCACACCTGGGGAAAAGCCAGCCCCACCGTATCCTGGGAAGCATTTGGGTGGTGAGGCTCTCCAGGATGAACCCCCTGGCCTCGGTTCCCTAGGGATCCTCCCACTGGCAGCGGGAGGCTCTGGAATAGATACGTACCATCTTGAAGTCCCGGTGGAGCTTGGTGTACTGCCACATGTTTCCCAGGAGGCTGGCGGCGGCCCGAGAGGACTTCTCGTTGTCCGAGCTGGGAAAGGGACAGAATGCCATGATGTTTTGGGGACCACTGAGCATGGGACAGCTCAAGGACACCACCCCAGAGGGGTCTGGAGGGATTTGGGGCTTGGTGAGGGTGGGGAGAGGCAGGAGGTGAATGGCTGGATCCCACAATAACAGGCAGGAATAGGGAGAGGTTCCCTGAAAGGGAAAAGGCAGCTATGGTGATGGTGGGGTGTCCTTAGGGGGTGACAAAGGGCTGGCAGGTGGCCACAAGGCCACTCTGAGCTAGGGTGGGGACTCCCAACACCAAGGCTTGGGAAAGGAAACTTGTGACCCTCTTCCACTGTGTGCGAGCAGGGAGGGAGAGGAGAGCAGGACAGGAGGCGGGTGTGAGCTGGGACACGCAGCTCCCACCTGTCCCGCCGCTTCTTGATGAAGAAGAGCTTCCTGAGGCCGTCGAAGTAGACGATGTCACGGGCGGCCATGGGGCTCTCCACCACCAGGTTGTTGAGCACCGCGATGATGTTCACGATGACATCGGCGGGCGGGGCCTTGTCCCCGACACTCCCCGGCAGCTTCTCGATCAGGTGGCTGACCACCTTGGTGGCTGTGGGCAAAGGGAACATCAGGGCTGGTGGCCAGAGCCGGAGGGGACAGAGCCATGTCTGGGAACAGGGGATGGAGCAGCCCGCCAGCTCAGCTGCATGCGGGGATGCAGCAGGCAGGATGGGGTTGGGATGTGCCTGGAGATAACGGGAGGCAAAGGAAAAGCCTGGGAAGCACCCCCCAGCCTCGGCTGACCCCTGGCACTCACACATGTCGTCCTTGTTGCGGGCGTGGCGAGACAGGTTGCGGATGAGGCCAGTGAGGGAGCGCAGCTGGTGGTGGTCGGCAGTGCGGACACGGTCCAGCACGGGATTCAGGATGCGCTCCTGCTCCAGCGCCAGCCGGCTCAGCACCCCTGCCCACTGCAAGGCAAAAATCCCCTTGGAGACCCCGCCAGCCCCCTGCTCCTCCTCCTCCCACTCACTGGGAACAGGTCAGGGTGAGCCCTGCCCAGGTGCCCCCCTCCCACAGGGCTGTGGTGGGCAGGCTGTGGGACCCCGGTGTCCCTGGGCCATGGTGGGCAGGCTGTGGGACCCTGGTGTCCCTGGGCTCACCCTGCGGTCCCCGGCCGTGATGTTCTGCAGGGCACCCGAGGCTGCCTCTGTCGTGTGCTTGTTGAGCTCGCAGCGCTGCAGCAGCCGGTTGTAGATGCCCACGATCTGAGGGTTCCAGAGCCACTCCATGCCCTTGGGGTCCTTGGAGACCTCCGTGAAGGTGACGATGTCCGCGTTCAGGTAGTGCTGAGGGACAGGGGCATTGTTAGACTCCAGGGATGTCCCCTCCTCATGTCCCTCACTGCCAGTGTTGCCTTTTCCAAACCTGCCTGGCCTGAACTGCTGGGCAGGGAGCTGGCAGGTCACCATGGCTACACCATGCCCCATAGCATGGAAAAGCAGGGGTTCAGCACCTGATTCACCCCAAACACCTGATTCACCCTCTGCTGAGCTCACCCGTGTGTCCCACCCACCAGCTAAGGCTGGCGTCCACCTCCGCCCTGGCATCACCTCTGCTGCCAGCACTTCCCAGTGCCAGCCCCACCCCGGTGACAGGGCCAGGATGTGCCCCCACTGACCTCCCGGGCTTTCTTGCTCTGGGGGCTGAAGCAGCCCACCAGCTCCCCTGTCACCGTGCCGCCGGCGTTCCTGCGGTGGCCCTCGAGGCGCTGCAGCGAGGACGGGGGCATCTCGTCGTACAAGCGGTAGGAGAGGTTGCGCAGGACACAGACAGCATTCTCCACGCTCTGGGGGGCACAGGGGACACGAGGGTGTCATCCCTGGGCCACCTGCAGGGTGTGTCCCGCTGGCACAGGGGCTCTACAGCAGAGTCATGACGCTGGGTGTGCCCAGCAAGCCCAGCTGGTGGACTCCAGGAGCTGGGCTGGTTCTCCCAGCATCACACCAAGATGTGCCTTTGCACAATGGGGTGGGGGAGCAGCACCTCAGCTCCTCTAGGGCCAGCTCAGGGGCTCACCTTGTCCTCCGACTTCCCCACCTCCAGGGAGCTGTTCACATAGTGGATCATGGAGTCCACCAGCCCGTGACACTCGCGCATCTTCTGCCGGGTCTGCTGGCTGGCAGAGCTCAGGTTCCTGCATGGGAACAGGATTTTGTCATGGAGAGAAGGAGATCCCCCATAGCCACCCCTTCCCGAGCCCAAAAACGAGCCCTGCAGACAGTGCTCCTGTCTCTCCCTCCCTCCAAAACTTCGCTCCCAGTGGGAGGAGCTGGAGGAGATACCTGAGGAAGCCTGTGGAGTTATAAAAGATCTCTGCCTCTGAGGGGTTCTGCTGGATGACACCCGAGGCCCCCAGCCCAGAGAGAGGGACCAGGACCAGGTCTGTGAGCTGCTCCAGCGTATCCCGGGCCAGGCGATCCTTCAGGTTGTCACTGGAGGACAGATTCCACAGGATCCCTGCACAGAGGGGGACCCTCAGTACTGGAACGGCTGGAGAGCATATCCACCCCAATTCCCCTCCCCACAGGGGTGGTGACAACCAAGCAAAGGGATCATCCCTGTGGAGCTCCATTCACATGAGAGGAATAGAAGCCACTCCCGGGGGAGGAGGACCCCTGCCCACCCCACCATTGTCTCACACCTGTGACGTTCTTGCGGAGCTCGTCGTCGGGCTCCCGCAGGGTGCGCATCAGCTCGTAGATGCCGTTCTCCTCCACCAGTGCCAGCTTGTTCTCAGCGTTGTCGTAGATGAGGTTGCGCATGGCGCCGGTGGCGTGGCGCTGCACCTCCTGGTTTGGGCTGTTGAACAGCTTCACCAGCTTGGGCATGGCCTGCAGGCTGCGGGCCTGGAGGACAGCCCGGGGGTCAGACATGCTGCATTCCCAGGGCTCCCTCCAGTCCCTGCACCTGCCTGCAGTGTCAGAGGGGCTGGGAAACTCCTGCTCCCACTGGGAAACCCCCTGCTTCCACCATTCCAGGGCCTCACCTGCTTCTTGGCGCTGCTGTCGCTGTAGCACTTGTGCTGCAGGTAGGCAGCACCCAGCACCTGCAGGTTGGGGTCACTGGCGATCAGGTACTTCACTGCCGAGGGCAGGTCGATGTCATCAAACCTGGAACCACAGCTGGGTGAGTCCCAGCAGAGCACCCCAAAGGATCCTCAACCTCTGCACCCCACTGTGTCCCCCATGTCCATAGAGCCCCACCAACTCATCCATCCCCTTCCCACTGCACTCTGTGCATGGGACTCCATTCCCAGTGGGATGAGCATCATCCTCCTGCCACGTCTCAGGATGTGGCCATGGAGGAGCCAGGATCAGGGGCAGGACACACTTGGAGGTCAGCCTGTGCGGTGGTCCAAGCTCCACCCACCATCCCACCCCTCTTCCCAACATCCCTTGTGCCCAGTGGGAGCTGGAGGGGTTCACCCCCCCTCCAGCAGGGTGGGACACACTCCCGCCATGGGGACAAGGGCCAGGACACCCCAGAGCAGCCC